GGGCGCTGGGCGGTGGAGCACCATTTTTTTTTGCTCTCTAGTTTAACGTTTCTGCCCTACGGTGGTGACGCCATTTATTCGTACAGAAACTGGCCCTTTCTGAAAAAAAAACAAAGAACATGGGGCTCAGACCACCACCAAACTAATCTATGAAGTGTAGATACGATCTTGTTCATCAGCGATACTTATATGTTCGTCGCAACGGAAACCAACGTCTTCTTTTTCTGACATAGTTGCTTCAACTTGTCTACGAACCTCTACACCGACTAAGCCTGAGTCAATGACGTAAGTAGCACCGATCCAGGAGTTTCACGACACACGATCATCACGACGTAGGTAGACTGCTGCGCGACGAAGGACGATAGCTTTCATTTCGACCAGCGACCACGGAATGGGATGAATCCGAGACAAGCACAGGTTTTGACATTGAGAATTTTGTAAAAATTTTTCAGTGAATCAAATATGTGACGAGTCTGTTCCTCGCATCGAGGATAAATACTTGAAGTCATTTACCTGAAAATTGCGACAATTCACGAGCACGATGACGCCAATACCATTCTGTACCGAAACCGATCTGAAATGGTGTAAGATCATGTTTTTTGTACGATTCGCTGTGAGCAAGGACTGCGCCAGCGGCTTCACGAAAACTAACGTAGCTTTTTGAAACACCTGGACACCGTGACACAGAAATAAGAAGCCGCCATAGCCACCCACCACCAATCGAAGGTCTGCTCATGTTGCGGCTACCTCTTGAAGTGAGTACCTCATTCGCTGCCTGCTGCCACTTGCAAGCTTCCACTTTATTTTCGCACAGCCAGCTGCTCTGCCCCTGCAGAAAAGACGAAGAGCAACAATTGAATTCCCAATAGAAACACAAAATGGGTTTCATCCACCGCGAAGCTCCACGAGGAACTCAATACTTGCGGTTCATTTCTACGACGATGGGGCCTCTTGGCTGCTGATCGGAGGACACAGGCCTGCCGTGTGTTACCAGGCCAGGCTGTTCGGCACCACTGCCGCCACCACTGCCTACCGGAGGAAAAAACGCGCCGCCCTCTGGCTGCGGCTGTTGCTGCATGGGATATAGCAATTGCCCGTCCGGCCCTATCACGGGTTGCGCGTTGTTCATCTGGTACATCACCATCGGGGGCTGGCCGCTGCCAGGCCCTCCTGGAGCATGATAGCCTGCGTACGTCTGGTACTGCATTCCTCCAGGTGGAGGCGGCCCGTACGAAGATGGTCCGCCGAAAGCTTGTTGCTGGTGCTGCATCATCATTTGCTGCTGCCCCGCACCGTACACCACCTGTGGCTGGGCCCCCGTGTTGTAATATGTGTGCCCCGGAGGATTTTGGTTCTGTTGGCGGCAACAGACGCAGAAGATAACCGCGCACGTGCCGCAGCATAGGCACATTACGGCTAGGATGATGATAAGCACTGCCCACACCGGCAGCTCACTGAAGTCCCCGCACTCTCGGCCGACCAGGGAGTATCAACTGTAAAAATGTCTGGGTCTGGAAGAATGCGTACTTGTGATGCGCATTTCACAACACACAAAAATCTCTCATGCATAGGTAGCAAAAGCTGCCCACTTTCTGTCACCAAAATGGGGGATTTGTCATGTTGATTTGGCATTGCTGAAGCTTCTCGAAGCCTGTGATGCTAGAGCTTCCATGCCAGACCTTCTGTGTCATGCAAAAACAGTATGACTCTTCCAGACCCAGACATTTTTACATTTCATAGAGGACGAGCTCATGCAACGCAGAGACGCCGCAGTCGGAGTGGTCGCGCGGCGCCCCAAGTCCGCACCCGCGGTGGAGACTACTACATCCAGTGCTGCGGAGGGTGCAGCTCCTGTGCTGGACGACACGATGAACAACTCGCTGAATTATACCATGAAGAGTGGCGCTGGTGCACTTTCCACGTCTAGCAGCAAACAACCCGGTGGAGGAAGCAGATCTAGTGGTCTCACGACCCGCCAGGGGGAGAACATCAAGATGGCGTATCACCACTCCCGGGGGATGGTGAGACCCCTGGGTGCACCCGGGTGGAACTCGTGTCCCCGGTCCGCCAAGACCTTTGACGGCATCGCACCGGCGCACCACTGGAAGAAGCGCCAGGGTTCGCGCCGCCCGGATGGAACCAGTGCGTACGAGCGGGTCGGTGGGCAGCATCACCGCATCCCGACCTCCGCCTCCGACGTCGGCCAGCACTTCCCGAGGGGCGCCGCCGACCGCCTGCGCCAGGTCATTTTCACCCGAGCAAAAGCCAAGGCGAGACCGCCGGTTGCAGTGCCGGAAAGGCCGCTATTCACGCAAGGCGGAACACTGCTCAGTGAGCAGCCCCGTTTCTTGTCATACCAGAAATCGGTGGAACCTGGCGAATTAGATGTAGCGGAACACGAGGCAGCGGCAAAAGATTTTGAGAACTACGCCAACGAGAACAACAACGTCGTTGACCGACAGGACGTCTCGGGCTATCGGGTGGTAACCAAACAAGACGACATCACCTCTCAAGGCTACGACGAGGGAGATATGGCGAGTGGCGGATCACGAGGAGATTTGCTAAAATCCGGAACGTCAGGACCCCTGGATAAGAGCGGTAAGTACTTGTGTTGAAGACCTTTGTTGTTTAGTCTTCCTCTTCTAAAAATTCAGTCCAAAGCATGTACAGCTAAGTTCAAGGTCGTTCTTAGGAGACAGACTACTTAAATGTTTTTACGTGCACACAACGAAAGGAAAACTGAAACTTTTCAGTAATCGTAAAAATATCAACGGCAGATCATGTTACTTTATCCTGATACTCGACTGATAGATTTTCTGCTCCTTCAGGTACAGGGAGGAACAAGAGTAACGTGACCGTCAGTGAAGACATTGACGCACTGATACAGCGCACGCTCGAAGGCCACTTGCGTAAAGCGATAGCGGAAGAGGGGCCGGACTCGGAGCGCGCGCTCGCCATATCCATGAAGTTGGGTCTAAGCCGGACACCGAGTCGGAAGCCGCCGTCTTCTTCAAAGGCCTCGGTGCTTGGGAAAGAGCCCTCGGGCGCAGACTTTCCGGATTCTGATGACGTCCCGCCCACGACGGAGGAGGAAACCATCTTTGTGCCCCCGACCAAACAGGAGGCCAGGGTGAGTGCCGCGCAGGGACGCGGAAGCAGCACAGCTAGTGCCGCTGATCGCGGAACGACTGGTAGCAAAAAAAGCGCTTCTGCTAGTGGTGCTGCAACACGACCTGCCGGCGTCAAAAAGTACAAGGAGCTGGGTGCTACAGTGGACGCCAGGGAAGTAAGTGAGTTCAACAGAACGAGCAAAGAACCAAGAAATGCCAACGACGCGGATGAGCAACAAGATTACTCGGAGCCGCGTTCACTCTCGGAGTTGGTTGCGACGGGACGTGGTACTATCAGTAAAGGACCCCGGGATAAAGCCGCGTTCACGAAAGAGCGCGGCTCGAGCGCAGACTCAGCCGAACGTAACAGAGACAACCAGGCAGGTACTCGTCCTTCCGGTCCAGCGGCCGCGGCCACACGGTCTTCTAATGACGCAAGTCGGAGGACCTCGAGAGCTCACGATGACACCGAGGGTAGCTATGCGCGGTCGCGGTCGCCCCCTTTACCGACCGAAGCTCCCGCCTTCCACATGCTGGTTTCCCGGTTCTCCCAGCCAGAACCCAACGAGGCCGGGCAAGCCATCCGCGGCCTTCGCGACCCGCTGACAAACCTTCCGCCCGAAACGAGTCCGCTGGACGAAAACCGAAAGCAACAGCACTTCGGGGAGCGCCGGCTCGACCCGCGTGACGGTATTCCACTGTCCTACGACGCGTGGCTTACCAAGTATCCATGGAGCAGCGACGACCAGGCGCGCGAGGTTTGGGGCGAGCTGATTTTGCACCACATGTCCCAGGGGGACGACCACGAGGTGCGGACAAGCGCGGCGCTTGCAGTCGCACCGGGAAGTGGACGCGCGACCAGCTCAAAAAATAACAGAGCGGGGGCCAGCACTCCAACGAGAAAAACCTCGTTGGACGAAGAACAACCACCCGTCCCGCGATTGCCTTCTCAACAAAAGAGCTACCGTCGTGACCAACAGACTCCGAGCCCGCCGCGGCAGCAGGGGCAACCGGTGCCGGAGGTGCGCCCGACGCAAGTGGACTTTCCGGCCAAGCGAGTCGGGCAAGACGGCAGAAGTCCGGGCTTGCTCGGGGCCGGACGGGGGGTCGGGGGGTTCGATATGTTTGGCCCCAGCAAACGGCCGACAAAGCCGGCGGAAAGTTTACCCGCCCCGTACAACACCAGTCACGTTGGTCCCGGGGGGGCGACCAAAGTCGCTTTTCCCTTCGGTATGAACGCCTCTCTACAACCACTCACGGCGGCGACGGCCCATCCTTTCGCCACCGATGCGATGATACCAACCCGCATTCCAATGCGCGGGGACCACCGCGGAGTAGGAACAATGGCAGCGTCCTCCCGTGGTGAAACCAATCCATATTTTGCATCACCCAGCACCGCCGCAGCACCACCAGGCCGAGGACGCCCGGGAGCGAGTACGAGCCCCTTCGCGCAGCGGCTTTTCGGTTACCAGGGTGCAGCTAGGGGGGAATCTTTTTCAAACCCCGCAACATCCGCCTCGCCGAGTAAGCAGAACTTCATGTTTATGCCAGAAGGAGCAGCGGCGGGCCACGACAATCAGCAGTGGATTGCGATGATGCTTGCCACTCAGCAACAGTTGCTTGCCGCGCTCGCAGCGCAAAATATGGGTGGCGGGATACTTGTACCGCAGCTTCCGGGATCAGGGTCTTCATCTTCCGCTAGCTATACCCCCTCCACCGAACGAGGACCCCCTCCACGAACCAGGACCAGCAAGGCCGATGTAGAAGCAGCAGTGACAGTAAGAACGCCAGCAGTTCCAGTTCAGCAGCTGCCCTGGGCGAGAGCACCAGATCATGAGGTATTTCAACCAAGAAGCAGGACTACGTCGCCTGAAAAGGTAGCCTCTGCGTCGAGTAGAACTGCAGCTGCAGCCAACAAGGTTCTGATCGACTACGATACGAGAGTCAGTCAGATAGGGACCATGTTAGACGCAGAGAAACATCAAACAGCCGATCATCTTGACGGCGACCAGGTGGAGGTGCGGGGAACGCGACCACCAGCACCATTGAAATTGCTAACGCAGTTCACACGCGCCACACCAAACACAAATTTTCACGCGAGCTGCGAAACATCGCTGGAGGAACCCATCGGCAAAGCAAATGATGAAACTACCACAACCAACAACTACGTTGCTGTAGCTGCTGTTGACGATGTAATTGTGGACTCGTATAAAAATGTAGTTCCAGAAGTTGCGAGAGCACAGCTTTTGCAAGATGCAGCTACACCAGATGAAAGTCGTGCAAAGGACTTGGTCCAGAGCTGCAGCAGAGCGGCGAGAAAATTTGATCCAGTGGAACCACCGGCTGAGATCATTTCCGAGGAATTTTATTCCCCGGGAGTAAAGAGACCGTCTCTAGACGCGGGGCTTGGTTCTCCAGACCAACCGGGCCGGTCGTCGCCGGAGGTGCCGCGTTTGGTCGTCTCGTCCGCCGAGGCGGAGGGGGCAGAAAAAAAGTCACCGCTGGTGCCGGGGGGACGCGAGGACAATATTAAGACAGCGGTTGTTCATGTTGACCTTGACGTCGAGATCGAGCGAAATGGTGCTGGGCCCGTGCAGCTATTAGATCTCAGCGTGGGGGGCGAAACTATTTCACGAGCGGACACGACAGAGGACAACGCCTCGTCTTCTCGTTTGTTCGCGGGGGCCGAACCCGATGTCGCTTGTTCGTCGTCCACGACAGGATCGCAATTCCGGAGCAACCAGGCGCAGCTGGCCGAGCCGCGGCGCGGTGACGAGCCGCCCCGGGCACGCAGCAACGTGAGTTGGCGACGGTCAGGTGACTTGCCAGAAAATATTAAGGGAGAGCGCACCAACAAAAGCGGCTTCAGCGACATGTTGTTCGATCCCGCGACGGCACTCTCATCGGCACCCACGCCCGCCACGGCAACCACCGCGACCGCGAGTCGCCTCGATCACCTACTGGCGCAGGCCGCGGCCCGGGAGGTACAGCTCGAGGAACCTGGGTTGTTCGAGAGAAACCCACTGCTGGCCGCATCAAGGGACGGCGGAGAGCGGCAACTTTCTTCGTTCGGAACCCCGGGCGGCGGAGCTCCACTTCATCCCGGAGGTACAACTAGAAACACCAAAAGTCCGACGACCCGCAGCGAAGCGAATTCTCTATCGCCGTCCACGGCTGGGGCAGCCACCCGGAAGATCGAGCACCTGTCCGGGGGGTTGTTCGAGAGCTTCGCCGGCGTGCGGGGCCGCTTGCGCAGCACCGGGGGCAACAACTCCGCCTCCTCGCCAGAGATGGATCACCGCTCGCTACAGGAAGCCAAGGCGAAAGTTATGAAGAATCTCTTCTCGCAGTCCTCGGGTCCCCCGCGCCAACGCGTCCACCGTGGCGCTGCTAGTACTGGTGCAGCAAGCACGCCGAAGATCTACACGCCGTTGCCGGAGATGCAATGAAAAATTTCGAGACAATTAATTATCATCATTTCCATGAAACAAAAAGTAAATAGAAACACAGGAAGATGATGAACACGTACACGAGGCATAGATACTTACTCCTCATGATGAGTGTCGTTTTCGAGCCTTACTATTCATTGCTTCGTACCAGTACCAGTTAAGAAATGTGCCGTCTCTGGGTGAGAAATGCCTTAGTGCCACGTGCTCGTCTCCTGGAGCACCCGACTGATGATACAAAATCAATGAACAAGGAATAAAAGAATGCCAAACTACCAATAGATTCTACTGCGGAATATCGTTTTCAAACATAACAATGGTTTTATTAGCAAGTGCCACAACATTGATTTTTGTTTAATCATTTTCATGTGTGTGCTGCAGGTCCAGGTGCAGCTTCACTCACTCTTATTCATGCATCGTTTCATCTGTTTTTTAATTTTAGCTCCTAGTTCATCATCATCCACCTCGTACGTGCTTCCTTCTAGCGCTAGCCTGTTCGTTGGGGCCAGCACTCACGGCCTACTTCCAATCACACACATCAATCATACTAAACCAGTAGTCATCTGGAAAAGGCTAAAAGCTTGAGCTTCCCTGGTTATATTTTGATTTGCTGTACAGTATTACTTAACTACTAACTCTAAGGATTGAACGAGATGCACATGCATGCTGTGAACAATTTTCTGCTTCTGTATTCATAAAGCTCAGTGGCAGTTGACTGGGCCTGGTCGGAATTTCGAATGCGAATCTCAACAGGAAATGAAAGATTTAGGAAACCATGCTCGCAGATTTAGCAAACCACCTTGTCTGTACAGATTCATTGAACACCACCAATATTTTCCTTCTCATTCATATTTTTATGTCAGGTTTCGTGGGACATACAAAGATGTGCCTCCGTCCGAAACAAAGGACAGCGGAGGAAATCGCGTCGAGTGTTAAGTATCGATGCCAGTGATGCGCATGCGACAGATCCAACGCATCCGCACGTTGCACGATCCTTTCTTTTTGATTTTTGAAACCGTGTGACAGTGCGACGATCTTCAGGATCTATCTTTGAATGGACCACAATTTCCCATCTCCATTTTTTCTTTGTAGTTGTACCTACTTTTTTTTTTTGGGTGCACAAAAAGAAGATGAAGAAGTGATGCGAGAGGGAGTCCGTCGATTGTCCATTATTTTTTGGAGGCGATTTTTTTTTTGTTGAAGGCAATAGTCTAAGTCTTAGTTCTTAGTCTTTATCGATCAGTGTCCGACCACCTGAGCATCAGCGGGTAAGCCTGATGCTTTTTTTTTGGGATCCTCAATGATATAAGTTTGTGATGTTGATGTGCCAGTCAGTCTCCCGCAGTGTTGGAGTTTGATGTTGTAACTCTCTTTGAGGCATTGTATCATATGTTGCAGGTAGCGTCTTATGCCGCGAGATAAAACAGGGTTTTTTCCCTTTTGATATACTTAATTTTCCTTGAAACTGCTAAACAGTCGGAATTTAAATTTTGATTTTCCGTATCCCTATTATCTTGTGCTAGAATTCGTATGAAGACGGGACCTCATCCTCAAGTTTGATTGAGAAAGAAGTACTATGGCGAGTTCGAGCGGATCGAAGGGATGGCGTGATGCCAGCTCCAGTACTACAGCACTGGCTGTGACCGCCTTGGTCTCGACGGTGGTAGGGACCTACCTCGCCGTAGAGCACTACAGGAGAAAAAACTCTACTAGCTCCTCAAGCAGCCAAGCCCTTTCCAAGGACAGGACGAAGGAAATTTTGCAGAAACTCGCAGCGGCGTTCCACGAAAAGTGCCGGGAGTTCAGCGAGATGAGCTTTTCCGTCCGCGAAAATTTGGAGGCGAAAAACATGTCGGTAAAATAAATGTGGTGCTACTATTTGTTCATCATGGACAACGTCGTAGATCGATAGTTGTACTGGTACTTAAGTAACTTCTCTTGCAATTTTGTCAACCTTTTGCTTTTGCTTTGCAAAGACATCGGTACTATGTATAAATAGGCGGAGTAGAATGAATGAAAGTCTTGAGAAGATGTTAATTCTCCCGACAGAGTGATTTTCATTTTTACGTTGTTTGTACTTCATGCACATCTATCGCCATTGTTCACAGTTTCCGGAAGAGCAGCTGAAGCAGCAGCTCGTACAGCAGAGCGGCGCTATGGAGAAGCTGGAGGCCATTCAGATGGCGGTGCTGCAGGAGTCGGGTGTGGCGCCGGAAGAGATCCAGGCCGCACAGGAGCGATACCAAAAAGATGCGGACATCAGCGAGCTCTCTGCCAGCTTCGACACGATGCTCGCAGACGCTTTGTCCGGTCTCGTACCTTTACTGCCCCTGATCAAGAAACCACAAATCGCGGACTCTGAGATCGTACTAGTATTGCTTTCATACTGGAATAGGCAGAAGTGCAGTAGTACAGCGAATTTATTGTCGTGCATACAAAAATGTAAATCGGATTTTTAGAAGAAAAAGAACTCCATTTATAATTCGATTTCAGCACGGCAGCCGTTTCTTGCTTTTTTGTGTCTCCTGATTTCATGGTGAATTTCCACATACTATCACTAACAGATCATAGACGTTCTCCAGGAGATCAACGAAGGTGAGGTCCTGGAGCTGTGTCGGCATTTTCGCGAGACGGGCGTGACCCACCACAGCGTGCAGCACCTGGGTGAGGTCATCACTAAGGCACGCGCCGACGTGGAGAAAGAGGCGGTAGCACGCATGTACTACGGTAAGAGCGTGGCGGAATTCTGGACCGCAGTTGGGTATTTCGACCGGATGTCCTTCAAATTTCTCAGTGAACGCCGGAAGTTGACCAGAGCCCACCGCCTAAGGCTGGTACGTGATTTTAATTCTTGCAGCGCTGCGGATGCTATAATGTATTTCGTGATGTTGAGGGGGTGTTGCTGTTGCGTGCGTGCTACTCAATTTAAATTATTGAAACGTTATCTACTCCTAATTGATTCATTTAAACAGTCGAAGCTCTTCGTACCGGTTGAGGCCCAAGGCGGCAAAGGAAAGGACGGCAGCGTGCCGGGGGTGCAGTTGGCTCCTGACGCACCACCTCCACCCCCTACCGCTGAACGGGAAAAAGCAGCGGCTCCTTTGCTAACGACTACGAGTCCAAGTCCGCAAAAAAAAGTATTCGAATCGAGGAAGGAGTTCGAGGAGGGGCGAGCAGCCGAAGAAAGGAAACTACAACTCGAGGAGAGGCGAGCAGCCGAAGAAAGGATGAAACTACTCGAAGAAAGGCAAGCAGCCGAAGAAAATCGAAGAGACGAATAAAGTCTGCAGAGTACCATGGGCCACATTCCGCGAAAGCGAGAGCGACTCGTTACTTTCACCTCCAACAGGGGAGGTATCTATCAAGTATGTCATACTTTTTTTTCTATACGCACGAGCCGGCTCACAATGTATACAGTAAGGCGACAATGAAATTCAAATTTGACTTACGCGGATATTGATGATGTGATTGCGACCATAGGCATAGCGCTTCCTTTATATTGCTTACAACGAACTTACCACACACAGTAAAAGTTTTCTTCTGCGGCGATTCCCGCCCGACACGAATAATGTTGATTCTGGTGAAAAGACTCCTTTCGTTCCTTCTAGTACTATTCCCACTCGGTGGCCGCTGCTCGGAAGAGGAACAGAGGAAGCAGGATCTTGCTTCTGGAGTGGTATCATCCATAAGAAAGTGTGCTCGACGACCTGTATGTCAAAATAACAATAAGGCGACCGGAGCTTCGTTCGAACTTCGAGCTCTTCCTTCAATTTCTCTAACCATAAGGAGCGCCACTAAGCAGGGCATAGTTCCAACCCAGGGCGCGCTTGCACCGATAATCGCATGAGAATTTGCGCGAGAAATTCAAATGAGTGCTAACAGGCAGCGAAAATCTAGATCGTCACGTGTCTGTGATTCGAGGCACACTGTGATCAATCAAAATCTGCACTTGCAACGGAGACAAGTACAAGGAGAAGTGACTATCAGTGTTCATAGTGATCGCCCTTCAAGAATTTGTGCCGCGATATTTCACGTACATGTCCTTGCCCCGGGGCTGAAGTTCTTAGTTGTTTTTCTCCGGGATTTATTTCCACTTGCACTTCCGACAAAAACGTTTCGCAGAATTGTATATAATTTCTATTTCATTTGAATAAGGACCTGGGAGTTGTTTCTCCAACTGCCAAGAGCAACCCAGCGAGTTCAAATCCAGCGGGCGCATGCTAAACGAAAGCAAGAGGAAGAACGAAGTACTGAGGACGACAGGAACAGCAGCAGCCAAAGCCATCCTTCTATGTCGTTTTTGGAACTTTTATAGCCCTTTTGTCAGTAATTTGTATAAAAAAAA